TTGGTGTGAGTGTTGGAAATAACCAATAGCCAACCAATTTATTAAACTACCTACCGCAAGTTTATTGGACTTAAATTCAAACATACAGATTTTTACACTCAGCGCTTCTGATTTTTGGTTTAGTAGATGACAACACTGAATAACCATTCCGCTCAGCGCGCTGCTGTATACTACACGTGAATACTACAGCATAATAAATTTTTCACACCCACAGAATGTCGAAATTCGCGTGCAGCACTCGCTGTTTGTGACAGGCAGGCAACTGGTTTTGTGACTGAAACTTGCTTTAGCGGAATGGCTATTCGCTACGAGTACCCCTGTCACAAACAGCAAATAGTCGCGGCAAATAGGCATTCGCAACGTGTATCGCTGTGTGAATAAAGCTCAAAATGACTGACTGAAATTGTTACAGTAGGTACTGATTTTTAGTTCTCGTTACGTCCGTTGTGGCACTGCTGTTCAAGTTTCCAATTCAGAGGTTTCCATACAAAGTACTAGGGGTACTGTACCCCTAGCACAAACCAATACCGAATAGTTTACGAGGCCGAAATGTCATTGTCGTACTTTGTGACGCTGCTGTTCAAGTATGCTTTCCAATTACAGAGCATAATGCGACTTAGTGCCGCACAATGCCCAATTATGCTGATGCTTAATTGGAACGTGAATTAGTTTTCAAATGCACCAGCAGAGTGCGCTAAGTTCAGTGTTGAAAAAAAAAGTCAATGTTTGTACCTTCATCCATACTTATATTTATTTTTTAACAGTTTGAATGAACTTTGATTATTTAAAAAAAATGGGTGCGTGTACTTATGTAGGCGCGTGAGAAGTTATCTTTCTTTGGTATCGTTTAAAATTAGTTTTTAATTGCATGCAAATAATTAATTACAATAAATTAATAAAAAGTCTGGAAAAGGACACAGTCAATAAAGTTCAGTTTTAATTTGAAAAAATAAATAAATAATCAAAATATTCAATTAAAATCGCTACTGAATATAATTTATTAGAACATTATGTGATTTGCACTTGTATGAAACTCAAACACGTATTCCGAATATACAAACTAGAAACATGTGGATAAATATTATAAATATGAATACCTATAACTGTTACTATATTACAAAAAATAAAGATGTGGTTTTTGGTTCTACTACACCAATGGTCAAGAGATGGCGCTGTAGTCTCCTGAATCGCGCTTTGGTTCCGTTGTTCCAGATTAATAAATACTTTTGATATTATAAATATGAATACCTATAACTGTTACTTTATTACAAAAAATAAAGATGTGGTTTTTGGTTCTACTACACCAATGGTCAAGAGATGGCTAAAGCGACCAACTTCATGCTGTTAAAATTTTGTGTTACAGTGATGTGCGCGCATCTTAAAATTTCACTCTCATCATTTTTTCATAACGCGCCTAAAGAAGTATAACTTCAAAAACTATTTAATGAAACGAAAGCTTTAATAATTATTCAACAATAAATAATATTACTAACGTTAACATATAAATAAAACATTTCGATCAATGCCAACTTAAAGAAAAAACACTTGTTAATTTTCTGTCTCTAAGTTGGTACGATTGCACGCATCACACGAAAGCATCACTTTTGTGCGAAGCGTTGCTGTAGTTGGAACACTCAACGTTAAGCATTATGCCGCATAATGCGCTATAATTCTGTAATTGGAAAGCAACCCAAGTTTCCAAATTTGAACAGCAGCGTCACAAAGTACGTAACGAGAACTAAAAATCAGTACACATTTGACATTGACATTTCGGAGTCTCAAACGATCCTTTGGTATACTTAGGGTACGGGTGCGGCCAGAGTGCACTCAGATACAGATTCAGATTCAGATTCCGAAAACAAGCGCGAGAAATAAACAGTGTAGTTAAAGCAGGGTGGCCATAGTGGCCGCAGGCAACCTGCTTAAACTACACTGTATATTTCTCGCGCTTGTTTTCTGAGTCTGAATCTGAATCTGAGTGCACTCTGGCCGTACCCTTACTTTACTCTTTGCAAACGATACGAATTCGATATTGGTTCTTAATACTGTTCGCTAATGCCGGCACTTCACTTGGCTATATGTGTTTGCCATTTGTAAACATGACATCAGGCTGTCCATTGCATTCCTTGTAGAGCATGATGAGGATAGACTGGGATCAATTCTGGCGTTACATTCTCTAAACCTAAACTTAAAATTAGAGTGCTAATTTTAGTTTAGGTTTAGTAAATTGGTATTCTGAAATTGCGAACTAACTAAATTAAGATCACAGTTGACAGCTGCAAACGAGCATGTAAATTAAATTCACAGATAAGGTAAAAGCATTGAACCGGTAGTTATCGGCTTACTCAAAATAGCAATAAATTCTTATTATTCAGTGATTTCGACTTATTTCAGTAATTCTTTGTTGTTCTTCATCATCTTGGAAATGTGGAAACTTAACATAAGCTTGTTATTTCACTGTATGAGAAATTATGAATCAGTAAAGAGTGAATACTTGCCTACTCTGTGGTACTTAGGGTTTCTAGATTGGGAGTATTTATCCTTATTTTGGGGAAAAATATGAACTTGGGGAAATTAAATCTGCGGGGAGAACTTTGGATTCATATTTTTTCTTAGAGCAAGCTCTAAGTATTTTTTTTGGCAAATGGTTGGGGAAAGCCACCACTTCTAAAATAAAGTGCAAATATAGGTACCAACTAGATTTTGGTACCTAACAAATCTATTAAGGATGATCAGTCACGCTAGACTGCGTCGAGTCCCAGCCGAGCTTCAGCCGTAGCACGGTCATCGAGCCGGTAACGCACCTGCAATTTACAAAGACGTGCCTCGCGACCGAGCATTTAGGTAGGTACCGTTGTGCCGTGATGCAGTCTACTAATACAGATAAAGTAAATAGGGTTTAAGTACTCGTCCGAGCAAAATCGTTTTTTTTTGTCTGAAGTAATAATACGATTGCCCGGCAATCGTTGTGATACTTCAGACACCGCGCCGGCGCTGTGTTCATGCAACGGGCCGTGGCGGGGCCGAGGCGAGATCAAGTTTTTTTCTGAGCGTTGTTCGTTTATTGCTCGGTTGTCTGTCGGTTACCGCCCGGAATAGCATGAATGTGTCCATAATCCATGTAAAATATATTATTTTATATTAGTTAACTCTGCTACGGCCGACAAGGTCTAACGTGAATCATCTTTGAAAATGTCTCGCATCTTAAATTCGCAATCCAGCGCATCTATCTAATACCTACGGTTATAAATTGCGGTTGCGATAAGTGGTTGTTATTAGCCCCTCGGCAGTTTTGTGAAGATTTTGTTCTCATTTATTGTATAACGTGAGATGCGTAACCTATTTTTATCTTTATTGTTTCAATCAGATTTTAGCGAGATGGTCCCAAATCCCAATAATTCATTTGGTGAAGATGACAAGTACTTTCGCATATATAAAAACAAACTTCTCAATGACAAACAGCAGAAACTTAGTTCGTGTTTAGTTATTTTAAGAAATATAATTAGCTATTAAAAAGTGGTAAATAAAAACATTTCTAACAAATATCAAAAACTGCTTCATAAAAACAAAACCACTAAAAAGAAAGGAATAAATTATACATGATAGTCTAAAATAGCTACATTTAAAGTCAAAATAACATTTGGATTGGAATTGGTGATTGGAATGCATATCACCGACAATATTAAGTAGATTTAGAAAAACAAAAACACGTAGTTAAAACAACCAAACTATAGAAAAGAAGTTCTCGAGGCAAACAGTTCAGTAAATGAACCTTTCCACTTATTATTATCAACGTCATATTTGATTATTTATTTATAACTTTTTTTAACCAACCAAACCCATATCAAACCCTAACAATAAATTTATCTGTAGCAATCATTTACCTAATTATTGGCCCTAATTATTCACATTTAAATTTAGAGAGGACCTCCATAGGTCCTTCTTAAATTTAGTATGACATTTCTAATTTTAGAGAAAATATGACATTTAGAACGCGTTTCAGAATACCAAATAATCACCTAAATCTAAGTTGAGTAACTAAGTTGTTTATGTTTAAGCTAGTGGCCCTGGAAGCCAATGCTTTAAATAAATTAAAAAAAAAATTGAGTAACTTAGCAACGTCAGTTTTTGATTTAGAGATAGAGTGTCTTTTAGGGATGATCGATATTCGAAAAACATCGATGTTGACATCGATGTCATAATCGAAAGCCCGACATCGATGTTCGATATTTATCGAAAACCGAACATCGATATTGGATACCATCGATGATGGTAAAAAAATAAAACACAGTGTAAAAGTACGGGATTTATTAAGAAACAGATCAAATGATTACATATTCCAATATTTTGTATCAATTGACTGAAGGAAGAGTAATTTTGATAATGAAGAACCTTTTAATCTATTTCTTTGTTGATAAAGAGTAGAGCCAGCTTTTGAAAACAGTCTTTCGGATGGCGTTGATGTCGCGATAGTACTCAAATATTTCACCGCTATTTTTTTCAATTTCGGGTAAGTAGAACCGAGGACATTGTTCCAAACTTGGATAGGATCTTATTTAAGATCAGATACTGGATTTTTCAAAAAGTAGCTCAACTCGGAAGGCATTTCGTGATCATGAGGGGAAGGCGTAGAGTTTTTGACATTTACAAGTTTATAATGTTCGCTCCACAAATTAAATTGTTCTGTTGGATCACTTGGATCTGGCGAGCGAGGAGACGACGAAGAACGTACGAATGAAAGGAACGAATGACCGGTGCGCCCTCAATGAATACGCGTTCAAAATAAACTTGATTTGTGGATGCGTTCATAAAAGACATATTTTGTTTCGTAAGTTGCATTGGTCGTATCGTGCGTGAGGCCGTGAGTTAATATCGATGATAGATGCCGTTAACATCGATGTTACGATATTTTTCGTATAGCAATATCGATGTTAAAACAGCGATGTTTTTGCTTTCAACATCGATGTTCATCGAACATCGATGTTCATCGAGCATCCCTAGTGTCTTTGCAGAATACCAAATTGAATTTGACAAGTCTATATTTAATTTTAGTTAGTTTTAGATATGAGTTGGCACGCCAGAATTGGGCCCACTGATTTCAAGTTTACAAAAAGCAAACACCAAAAGGCAATTCAAATTTGAAGTGCCGGCGTAACTTAGTGTGTTTTTATCGCTGTGTAGTTTGTGTAGGTACTTAATAATCCTTTTTAAATAGGAAAAGTAATAAAACTGAGCAAATAACCACTTCTTGTAATAAGAGATAATGGCAAATGATAGAGAAGTGTTACGTGAAATATGGGATGGAAAACTGCCCATTTGTTTCCAACTAGCTCAAGAGGAAATCATGGAAATTCAACAACCTGACCCTTTCTACGTTATGGTGCCAAGGCTTAGTTACTTTCCATTGGTCACTGATAAGGTATACTGGTACCTACTAGAAAAATGTTTTACATTTTCCATCATTATAAAATTTTGTACATGTTTAGTTTTCTGAGAACATAGTAATGACATGCAAGGAAAAACTAAATTTCTTTTTTATAGATGAAAAGGCATTTCCTACGTTTTATATCTCAAGAAAATGCAGACAGTGAAATGTGGTTAGATTATAATGGACAGCCACTTAAATGGCACTATCCTATTGGTTTTCTTTATGATCTCTTCTGTGGCAATGATCCACAATTACCATGGACCCTCACAGTACATTTTACCAAATTTCCTGAAGATGTCATTTTACACTGTCCTAACAAGTAAGTTTTAATGATTCTATTTTTTTCAATTAAAACTACCTAAATTTATTTTGTGCTGTTCTAGTCATACACTTATATCGATTTTTCTCTCAACTCCTTAGTAACCATTACAATGTTTTCTTAGATTAATCTGTAATGAATTTATCATGTTTCAGAGATATTGTTGAGGCACACTACATGTCCACAGTCAAAGAAGCTGATGTATTAAAGCACCGTGGGCAGGTTATGTCTACTATGCAGAAAAAAGATCATAATCAGTTGTGGCTGGGTTTACAAAATGGTATAATTTATTTAATAATAGTCCACCTAGTTTTACTAATTGTTCCTAAGTATAAGGCCTGCCTGATAGTAAGCAGTCACCTTGTCACTTGTTCTGGTTATATATACGAAGTATATAACAACAGTGGAAAAGCGAAATTGCTTATACACCACTTCGGTGCTGCTTAAAAATTGACTTAATTTCACTATTATTTAATGTTAATTTTTAAGCAGCACCAAAGGATCATATTAGCAATTTTGCTTTCCATTGTCGAATTAATATAGAAATCAGTATGGAGACATACTGATATGAAAGAAAGGAATATTTATCTACTTATCCTTCTAGTTAGTATAAAATCCACATACCATCTATTTTGACAGGAGGGAGATCTGTATAAATATAAGTTTTAGTTTGACACTTTATTTTATTTGTAGAGTACAATAATTGATAAATTGAACTATAAATTCCATGTTATACCCATAAATAGGTACTAGTATTGATAAGTAGAAAATATTCCTATATAACATGATATAGGAATAGATAACTTGGTATGAAAAAACAAAATAGGCAGTCACCATAGTCTATAAGGTATTTAATATATTTTAGCATTATTCATCCCGTGCCTACTCTGACCTTATCCCTTGAAACTCTAAAAACCTTATTCATTGACAAGCTCAACACTACGAAAAGGGAGTGTTATTTCTTCTGCAAACAGGTGCGATAATGAGCAGCACCCTACTGCTCATAAATCACCATTTATGATTCTCCTCTTACATGAAAAGAATTTAAAAGAGTACTTTTAATTTTAGATAAGTTTGATCAGTTTTGGGCGATAAACAGAAGACTAATGGAGTCCCATGGTGACAATGAAGGATTCAAACATATACCCATAAGATTATATTCTGACGATGGAACATGCAATCAGCGTTTAGTCAGCCCAAAGAATGGTGATGGAAGTAGAAAGAATTTAAATCAAATGATATCAGAGTTATACCCTGATAAAAATGACGGTAGGCAGACTTCTTTTTTGTTAATTACGTGTAAATTAAATATCTTAAACACCTACCTACCACAAATATATAATATAACTAATTATTATAATTATCTTTTTCAGTTAAGTTCAGAACACATGGTGTAACACTTCCTTTAGACACACCTCTACAATGGCTGTCAGAACACATGAGTTACCCTGATAACTTCCTTCATTTGTGCTTATGTTGAAAAAATAATGTATCAGTATCGACTATTTTACTGGACTCTGAAATATTAATGTTGGCAGATTTACATTCATACATTAGCTAGATCATTTTTATGGTAGATTAACAATGACGCTAATTACTTTTGCGGTTGCACTGGCCGCTTTTACGGTGCCGGCGCTATTAACACAAATTTGGCGTCAGCATCATACTTTCAGAAACTGCAATTCCTTTAATGTAACTATTTGTGTAAAGTATTTTATCTATGAATAGCTTAAAATAAAGACTAAATTATTTAAAATTTTATCAATATCAAACCTGCTTAAAAAGGTATCTGACGTAAACAGATTCTGTCCTTAACCTCCTAAAGGAAATTAAGAGTTCTTGTTTATTATATTTATTGATTTATAAATCCAAAGAAGTTTCACTAGAACAATTTCCGGTCCATACAGCAGATGGGACTCGAACCTCACATCCACTATCCGAGGAGATGGATGATTTTGCCGCAAAAAAAACTTTCTATATATAAATTTAGCAGTTAAATGCTTTAAATAAATATAATAAACTACCATCATCTTCTTTCAAATGCCAAAAAAACAAATATGTACAGGTAAAAGTGTTACATTTGATATCGTGCGTGGATTACCTGCGAAGTGATGATGCTGCCTTGCAGCCTAAGAAATACTAGAAAAAATTTGACACGGCCATGGTGGTCGTGTTAATTGGTTAGTGCATCCATCTGGATAACGGAGGGTGCGGGTTCGAGTCCCGCCTGATGCCTGGACCGCATGGAGTTGTTATTAATGTTGAATTGAGATGCAGTGTTGAAGAAACAATGCCTTTATGAGACGAACTTCTTAGCAATCCATGGATTCACCGTGCTGGCAACACCAGCATCGTGTGGCAGAAAGAGAAACTCTGAGCAGGTCCCGGGACCCAGGTGAATATATCATCATCAATCCAAGCTCGTCCACTGCTGGACATAGGTCTACCCTAATGCACGCCACTGCTCCCGATTTTCTGCCACTCTCATCCAGCCCACTCCAGTCCAGCCAGCCTACGAATTTCATCATCCCATCTTGTCTCAGGGCGTCCTACACTACAATTACCGAGACGTGGTCTCCACTCAAGAACTTTCCGGCTCCAACGGCCGTCAGTTCTGCGGCTCATGTGACCAGCCCACTGCCACTTCAGCTTGCTAATTCGGTGGGCTATGTCCGTGACTTTGGTTCTCTGTAGGAGTCATGTAGTAAGGTTAAAAATTTGTATAGATCTTGAATGAATCTAATTTACGGTTGTTCGGGCCGTTCGTTAATAGCAAATTGCTCAGATTAATCCTGTGATCACATGACCAAAAATCCGTATGTGTTGCAAATATAGATGTAAGCCGGTTTAAAACCACTTAAACCAATCCGTTTAAAAACGAAAAAAACCGTTTAAAACCGAAATATACCATTTTTTTCGATTTAAAACGGCTGGTGTTGATGACTATGTTTTTCTTAATTTTAACTACAGTGTCTTGATTTTACCGAGGTAGGAATATAACGGAGTACCTTTAAACTGTATAAAGTTTTTTTAAATGTGTGATATACTTAATGATATTGATATACTAAGCGAGTTTAGTTCTAGTTGGTCCATCCGCGACCAAGCATAGGTATTACCTACTTAAGTTATAAAAACTCTTATATTAAGGTAAAAACTCTGTGTTGGTAAATAAAAAAAAAACATTGTTTTTAATCGATATAAATCAATTCGATCAATTTGATTCGGTTTAAAACCAAACTCACACTCTCGCACTCTCGTTGACGTCACTCGTCGTTACTCGACCGACGCAAACGTTGCCAGCTCGCCTACCCTACACACACATGCACGTACCTACTGAAGTTTTCGTGGTACCTAGGTAATGCACGTAGGTACTTTCTATTGATTTTCTTTATACCTACTAAGTAAAACGAAACATGACCTCGGGTGACCAAAAATTGACCATAATGAAGTGTAAAAAACATAGTTCTTTTATTTTTGTATGCCAGTTTTCAACCGTTTAAAACGATTTATTTGGGGTTTAAAACGTTTTAAATCGGTTGTTTTACATCTATAGTTGCAAATACAGAACGTAGCTTGTGGTGCTCATGCTACGGGGACAATTACGGAAAGGACAGTGACTAATGAAAATAAGAATGGTATTTTTTTTAACACCAATTGGCCCAAAGTAAGCACTGTAAGGCTTGTGTTATGGGAGACTAGGGTAACGGATAGAATACATATACTGTACATATATAAGTATATTTATATAGAAATACATATTAAACATGCTTGACAGGAGTACAAATGCTCGTATTCAACACACAAACATCTGCCCCCACCGGAATTTGAACCCGGGACCTTTCGAGTCGGCGACACCATGAAACCCGGCATCCAACCACGCAGCCAAGCAGGTCGTCAATCGTCCTCGGTCGTCATTATAGAGATAAAATCGGGAATATCTTTTCGCTTCTCTGGATTATAGGTTGGCGCGTAAACTAAGCAGTTGTCTCTACCGACTTAGTTTATACAGTGCACGTTGAGTTCTCTACGCACTATCCATCTTGCTGGATCCAGAATGTGGAATAGCGCTATACACGTAAAAGAGATCCTATATCTCCATCTCTTTTGTATGTAGAGCTCTTAGTAAGCTCGTACGTAAAAGAGATCCTGTATCTCCATCTCTTTTGTTTCTAGTGCGTAGAACTCTTAACACATCATCTAGCAACTCGACTTAATGAGTTGTGGTCAACTGTACCCCTAGCACGAACCATTATCAAATTCGAATATTTTACAAACTGAAATGTCAATGTAAAATTTTGTATGGAAACTTGAACAGCAGCGGCACAAAGTACGTAACGAGAACTAAAAATCAGTACACATTTGACAATGACATTTCGGACTCGCAAACGATACGAATTCGATATTGGTTCGTGCTAGACCCCTAGCACTGACCGTAACTTAGTGGCCTATTAATCAGTACAAGTTGTATACTGATAATAATATTATCATACAGAGAAGTCATTGACATTATCTGCACATTTGATGCTTTATTTCTACTATATAGATGGAAATAAATTATTGCAAAATTAGTACTTAATTTATAAAATATATTTATTATTTTATTCTATGTACTCGAAATATTTACAATAAAAACTAATTAATATCACAATTCCTAACAGGATAAAGTGAGGTTACTCAGGTACAACTTAAATTAACATCATGATCTAGCTTTTAGCTCCTTACAATTTCTTGTTAAATTATAATAAAACAATATACATAGATTTGAACTCTAATGGAGGCCAGGCCTAAGCCCGCTATACCTTAATTATTTTCTGATAAAAAAATATGGACATTCGAGTAGTATTAATACACTTTAAATAAAGTCTTAGGACTGATTCATACGTATGTTGTAAAAAATATTGTAAACAATTTGAAATTAATACTGCCAGACACATTCGGTCAGCGGTATATAGTACCAGACACTTAAAATTTTAAATGTCGAATGAGTCTGTTACCTGATATTTATTTAATATTTATTTATTATATTAAGGGGGCCATTATTATATTTTGTAAGCTGCCAGAGTAATCGTAGCGACCAAAACTTCCCTATGCTTATTTAAAGTGCCACTGTGAGAACCGATTCACTCAAAGTAATTAAGTGCCTTTTTAATACAGCTTCATAAAAGTAATCTTGTAAATAATAGAATAATATTTTATTATCTAATTTATTGCAGAAAATTACTAAGGTTGTTTTTTTCCTTTTGATATTTAAAGTGTCTGGTAATAAATACTGCCGACAGAAGCTGTATCGCAGCATAAATATTAAATTGCAATATTCTCTACAACATATGTTAGAACCAGTCCTCAGACTCAGGGCTCAATGGGCGCTCTCGCACGGCCGCGACCCGACATGTGACGGCATCGCATATTCGCGCACCACCTGCGTTTTAATAATGTCTTGCGTAAATGCATACTTACAACTAAATTTACTCAGCCATTTTCATAATAGAAAAAAGTGAAAATACAGTCATTCTTGAACTTTCTTGTATTACTTTGACATTTTTAGAAAAAAAAAGGCCCGCATCTCACATTATCGAGTACGTATGTGTATACGCTCATTGTACACATTAATACTACTGAATTAGCCATTTTTTTCCATCAAAAAATAATTAATGTCTGGCGGGCCTGGGATCTTGGACTATCACGTCCCCGCCACAGCTAGTAGCGGCAATGCATGCGGCGAGTTGCAGTGGATACTTAATAGTTTGAATCGCAATATACCACCAGCGGCCACTGCAACTGCTATTAAGCAGCTGCAAAGCTAGCCCAAATCACGGTGCAGTAAACGAAGTTTCAATCGCAATATACTCTCCAGTACAGTGCGACAAGGTTCTTTATGAATGTAAGTGACAGTTCAGGGAGAATGCCACTGTTCTCCCTGACAGCTGAAGACAGCCTAGAACGCTAGGAAATATGCCTAGGAACATTCATAGACATAGAAGGAGCAAGAAAAAACCACTAAGAAAGCATGCATCATTCTTTGCCAATGCAGGAGGATGTTGGGCACAAGGTGTGTTAAGGTTAGGGCTTCTCCCCTCTTATAACAAAGTGGCTGTACACGACGATAATATAACCCATCATATGCTATGCAGCGCTTGTATGGTGGACCAAGACAACGCAGGTAACCTTAGACAAACTTAAGTGCTTCCAAGGGCGTGTCTGCCGGGCGATAACGGGCTGTATGAAAACCACCTCAACTGCAGCACTAGAGACAATCCACAACGTACATTTTTACATACTTACATCAAGAAGCAGCATATGCTGGGCTTGTGGAGAGACAGCAACACGCGACACACCCGCATTCTAAAAGGTATTGAGGAAGAATACCCCTTCTTAATAGCGAAAAACGACATGATTCCCAGACAGTACGTATTTGACAAAAAAAATAGAATACAACTATATGAAGACAATACAGATCGAGGACTACATTAGGAACTAACGATATACACAGACGGCTCCAAAACCAACACAGGTGTGTTCTCGGAGGATATTAACATATATATATATCAGACAGCCTGGGTAAACCAACACAGGTGTGTTCTCGGAGGATATTAACATACATATATCAAACAGCCTGGGTATCTTCAACACAGTCTTTCAGGCGGAGTGTATAGGCATTGTCAGAGCAGCTGAGCAGCCATCATACGCCGTGCAATCAGGGGTAAGAACATATGGATACTCTCTGGCGGTGTTTCGGTACTCCGGGCGCTAGCCAACAACATTATGTTCTCCTGCCTGATTTTCGACTACCACTGTTAACTAAAGGAGGTAGGCAACGAAAACGAGGTATAATACTCCAATGGATAAAAGGACATAGTGGATCAAGGGGCAATGATGCGGCAGACTGCCTCGCCAGGAGGGGATCGGGCACTGTTGTATTTGGCCCGGAACCAATCGTACCTATCCCATACCGACAGCTGCGAAGTTGGATAAGGGAACGATACCTACGACAACACAATGAATACTGAGCTTGACTTGCAGACGGCAGGCACGCCAGGGAGGCCATACCTAAGGTAGACCCACGGCTAGCTAGTAAGTTTTGTAAACTACCTAGACACGTTCTGAAACAAATTGTGAGTATTCTCATAGGATATGGACACTATTTATTATAGTGTCCATATCCTATGAGAATATCTCACCTCTTCATCTCTTTAAAATAGGTGTCTCGGACAGTCCTCTGTGCAGAACCTGCATGGAGGAGGAGATGAGCACTCACGTTCTGCTACAGTGCAGAGGCGTGATCAAACAACGGATGACACACCTGGGCAGCCCACAGACGCTGCTCGAGGCCTGTGGGGACATCAGGAGACTTCCGAGCTTCTTGGGGGAGTTGGGATGACATGACTAAAGTAAAAAACTCACGCAAAATAGTCACTTGGTGTCGAGTTGCAGAGAACACCCACCGTATAGAAGAAGAAGAAGAAGAAGGGCCTTGTGGTCGGGGCAGGCTAATATAATAATTAAAACTTTGTTTTGATTGCGTCGTTGCTGTCGGGCGTGAGCGCTGACTGGTTAAATTTTTGAGCCGGCGACAACGGTTTCCGTACACACAAATTTCTCTATAAATAAAAGGCTTATACCTCCCCAAAATTAATTGCGATTCCGGCCACACGTGACAAGATCTTGCTTGCACTGTAGCTGTGGCATACTGCATATCCTACTTTGTTTTTGCAACTTGCAACTCGCCGCCCAGTGATTCTTGCCGGTGGTAGCTGTGGCCAGGCTGCAAACGCCCAGAGACGATATTTTTAAAATAAGACCCAAATCACCTTCACAAGCAAAACATTTTAACGTCCCTGAGTGCGGTCGCAAGAGTTGCGTGGCTCATTTGTCATTTAAGATCTACACACTAAACACATCGCAGATATAAAAATAAGTAATTAATCTATAAGTTTACTCACTTTATACATATTTACAAAAAAACGCATTATTTTCAAAGTTCAGTATTTTTGTTAGCTTTGGGAGAATATTTCTTTATTACATAAGGAATGCGCCTTGTAAATCGTTTACAACCATTATTTGCAAATATTGGTTGATCTTCTGTTGGTCCGTACGTTATCACGGACATCGCATCACTGAAAGTAAAAAAAATTGCATGTATAGCAGACTCGACTTGGTAATACCATGTACCTTATTTGTTATAAGTCTCTTATATTCCGAAACTGTTGCAAGCGCCGTGATCACTGAGTAATGATAACTGAAGTACTTGCTGGTAAATGTTATTGGCAGACATATCGGTCTACCCTTTGACATCGTCTTTTATTGCGCTTCACACCCCATTCACACTATTCACCCGACACACAATAATTACTCACAGTTCTGACCTCGAAACGGCACTTTTTTTTTAACTTTTGCGGTTTTGCACATATTAACCACTGGATTCCAGACACTTGACAATTGAAATCCTTCCTCAGGATAAAAATTATTGAGGAATTGACGATTGAATTAAAATAACCAAACACAAGAATTTCAATCGTGAGGATGGGTTTTTATATTAATTTATCCGTGCGGTGACGGAGAAAGAATACTACTCACCACCCCTTCACTTCCCGCGGGTGTCGTAACAAGACTGAGGGATATCGGAGCTTCCATCCGCTCTTCTGGTGGTAGGGTGCTTAACACCCGCCTTGTTTGTTACCACCATACGCATAGTGAAAAACCCGTGAAGTGCATCAAGTGGGAATTTCCGCGACAGATTCGGTCCAGCGGTGGCATCCGTCGAACCTATGCCGGGAGAACTGTATCGATCCAACGGTCAGCGATATCCGTAACAGCTGTCCCACTGGCCACGCATAATCTGAGGGTGGACCGTCGCACCGATTGGTGACCGGGGCGTGGGGTCCCGGCGGCCACTAGCGCTTCCGTCGGTGGATCGGCGTATCTCTTTCTTAGGCAGTTACTCGGGAAAACGTGCCTCCAAATATTTGCCTGACTTTGTTGCGCCTAACTCCACTGGATTCCTGCACCTCTTTTAATTTTTTTCGTAAATGGCAGCCCGTACAACAAACTCTGTACAGCGGTGCACACCGCCATGCCTTCCGCGCTGTTCGAGGTCGAGTTTTACAATGCCTCGTGGTCGGCTTATGCCTGAATGTTCGGGCGGATGTTTGGTGAGAATAACTGTCACCTCAGTGTTAGTCTTAGAAAGAGTCCTTAAAAACCATCTGACCCGCTACTTAAAAAAAAGATTACTCTCTGTTTCACGATCGTCAATACGGATTTAGGCCGAATCAATCGACGGGTGACCCTCTAGCGTACGTGACACACATCTGGGGTGAAGCTATAGAAAAGCGGGGGGGAAGTTTCTGGCTATCAGCTTTGCGGATGGCTCCGCTAAGAACTTACTCGATGCCTTGGACAGGTTGCAGCGGTCGCCCGCATTATAGGCGATGAAGAGGTACCTAACAAACTAGAATCTCTTCAATTCCGCCGCGATATGGGATCATTAAGCGCATTCTGCCTTATCCCTCCATCACTTTTTCTTCGGAGGAGCACGCGCGCTGGCCTACTTTGTAACCGACTTACTGTACTACTCCTACACGAACAAAGAAACTTGGTGACTTATTTCCTTCCGTTTCCGTTCCGTATTCGCAAGTGGAATTCTTTGCCAGCGCACGTGTTCCCTCCTTCCTACATTCTGGGGTCCTTTAAGAGAGGCGTGAAGAAGCATTTTTGCAGGACGGTAAAGTGAGGATGGTTGGTGTGGCAGTTTATAACTGCTGTACCAGTTGTCTTCGCGTTTGGACCCTATCACCACTAAACATCAGGAGAGGTAGAGTTATTTGCCTACCTAGCTATAAAAATTATGTCAAGAGTTTGAAATCCAGTAATTGGTATTGCAAAAACCGCAAATATAAAAAAAGTGTCGTTTCGCGATCGGGTACTGTGAGTGTTGTGTGTCGGGAACAGGTGCGAGTGAGAATGTGACCAGGGATGGGGATGTGAAGCGTAATAAAAGACGACATCAGAGGGTAGACCGATATTCTGACAATAACATTTACCCGCAATTACTTCAGTTACTCCGTGATCATGGCGCTTGCAATAGTGCCGAAATATAGGAGACTCATAACAAACAAGGTACATAGTAACAATCCCATTGATAACTGTACTATATATTAATGTGTTTTACTTGTTTTTAAATACGGCGGTTAATGAAATTGTAAAAATAAAAAACGAGCGAGCCTTACAGTAGTCGCGTATGATGTGTAACATTTGAAACCTATATTAGTAAAAAAAGAAATTAAACCTACTACAAAAGGTATAAGCCATTTGAACATTATGTTCTAAAATCAAATAAAATAGCGCGCGCTTTCGCGACTTCCTGTTACACTTCTGTCCCATTTCACGAAATCACTCCCTCAAATTGCAGGAAAGCGAGAGAAAAGATGTTACACATCAAAAAAAATAAATTAAGTATTTGCTTACGCCATCATTTCTTCGCTAGGATCGTAGATTCCATTTGACCGGAATTCAGCTAGTGCGCACATTTCCACGTGATGCTGTTCTAATGGGAGAAATGGTATATAATGATCTATTAGATGTTGGGCGATTGCTCCAGCTTTCTCAAAGCCTCCTGAAATGAAAATAATAAAATCCATTTAAGTATAAGTGACGACCTCCGTGGTGTGAGGTATGTACGCAGGGCTTCAAGGTGTTGCCTAGAGGGCCTGGGTTCGAATCCACCGAAGGTTGTGTGATGAATACGAGCATTTGTACCTACCTAAGTCATGGCTATTTTATACACATCTAACCCACTAAGGCCCACTAAGGCATTTTGAGTTTTGACGGTCCCTAGCTTAAAATAAATGTTACATTGATCAAAAATTTATTACCAACGCAATTTTAAAGCTGATATATTACCTATGTTTAGGTGTTTTTTTTTTAATTATTGCTTAACCATAAACATACTTAATAATATTTTTGATACAGACCGTTAAATCTTATAACAAGTGGGTCGATAGAGATGTCCAGAAATATATTTATATTTCTACGAAAATATAACTTTTATGAATTCTAGCCATGCCTACGTTAGGGCTGGCACATTAAAGTGTGTAAGAAATATTAAAAAACTGACCAAGTGCGCGTTGGACGCGTACACAAAGGGTTCCGTTGAACAAACCGCGATAGGAAAATCATTTGTTAGTTTTCGTCACAACTTACAAAGTACACCATGAATCGGCGGTTTCAATATATGTTGTTTATATAAAGTATATGAAGCATCATATAAGTACCAAAATATCACATTCCTAACTAGTTTCGATTATGAGATGGACCCCGTAATAAAAATGGTTTAAAAATTAGAACTTTGACGACCCACCATTTCTTTGTTATTGAAAAAAAATTTATAAAAATTATATTTATCCTACTCAAGAAGCTCTAGACAATGATGTGTCACATGTTGGGGTAAAAAAGAGAAAAAACTGTTCATCTCCTTTTCACCTATGAATAGAATAGAATATATTTTATTAACCCTCATATTACAGATATTACACACATTTACAGACAAAAATTCATAAAACTCAGGACTAACCAGGAACCTGCTTCAGCATTAGCAAAATAATTTAATTGAATTTTTAACTAAATATTCGGCTTTGGGCAAGCATTTTACATAAAATAACAAAATTTCAGTTCTGTAACTCATTCCGTTTACGATCTACAGACCCGTGATATACGGGCAAACAGCGAGGACACAGTGACAGGACAGACTGACAGTAATTGGGTTCTATTTTTTTTTACCCTTTGGGGACGGAACCGTAAAAAGATAATAACATTTAAAATACAGCACATGGAAGACAACTTCATTTAGTTACATAGGTATTAAAAAAAGATAGCTATACTAACCTTGATGATATGCTGTTCTTCTTATGATAGGTTCAAAATTGTGGAATTCCACATCGTTCCGTTTAATCCCTTGTTCATACAATTCTAATAAGTTAGTTGCAATCTCCTGGCCTCCAATATTTGAAATAAAAATAAAAATTGTATCTCTGAAATAGATAAAAAATATGACCACATTGATTTTTTATAGCATAAAGCATTGTGTGTATGACTTATTTAAATCCTGATAACACAAATATTTGTTTTCGAGTTTAATATTTTATCAACTAATATTTTTACGAAATTATTAGTTTTCTATATATGAATACAATTTTTTGATAGATCAAAAACAGTTTAGCTACATACTACGAAAACGAGTCCACGCATCAGCATGCATGGGAATATTGCCAGCAGCATTACCGGATATGTTCCCACCCAATAAGGAAATTTAGCGAGGATTTAAAAAATTAAACGTAAGAACTGTAAATGAAAGAACATTTTTTAGACCCTCTGCTCCAAAATTATATAAAAGTATTTATATATTTCACCTATAGTCTACTCCATCCACAGCATGATGATAGTCCAACATCGGTTTAATGGCATCCAAGACCGACGGGCACATATCATGTATCTCATCAAATATAATAAGAGCTTTTGAACATTTTTTCACAACTTCATTCACTTTCATGATAAGGTCTTTCTGAAATTTAACATTAATCTCTGAATGTACCTCTTGATTGAGTACAATCAAACAAACTGTGTAGATCAGAAACAGCTTGCCTAATAATTTGCTTAAAATTGACTAACAAACCAAGTAATCATCTATAAAAAAATCAAAATTGTCATAAACGACCACCGAAACGGGACATTTGATTTTTGGGTGGTTGAGAAGCAACCTGATCGGTTCCAGCCCCTCTAGCATGACCACCAAAACGGGATATGATAAAGCGATATATATCGGCATTAAGTGTCAGACTACAGTGGAGTTTGACAGTAGTCTTCATCTTTATCATATCCCGTTTCGGTGGTCATGCTAGAGGGACTAGAACCTGATCGGTTGCTTCTCAACCACCCAAAAAATCAAATGAATCACAGTCACAGCGTCAGTTTAAACCACCTTCATTATCCCGAATTTTATTATTAATAATAATTAGGTAGGTACACTGAGGAAGATTGTGCCTCATTCTTCGTAATTCGTAATATTATTATTCGACAGAGAATCTGGCGAAACAAAGAACGACTTATGTAAAAAACTTGGGTAAAAATTTAAACATCGACATAAATGAAACATCCATCAAGGATATTTATAGAGTTGGGTCAAAAGATAAGTCGACTCCGATAGTTGTGGAATTCACTTCTGTCCTATTGAGAGACAAAATACTAAAAAGTGTGAAATTGTTTAATAAGAGAAAAGTTAAGGGTAAAAAATTAAACACATCTCATTTGCAACTAAAACAACAACAAAAACCGGTGTTTATTTCTGAAAGTTTTCAGAAAGCAGAATTTTTCAGAAAAACCATAACTGGACAGCTCATGGTCTTGTTTATTTGCGTAAGGAAGAAAATTCACCGCAAGTGAAAATTTCCTGTCCGGAAAATATTAAAATATTGCGCTGGAGTGAATGACTAGATATAAATCAAGTTCCTTTTACTGTTGTTATTTTAATTTTCAATTTTAAATTTTTGCACGTAAATCTAAATTTAAATCTTTATTTTGTTAATGCGAGCATCAATTACAATTACGAGTATTTCTACGCACAAACACACTACACAAATAAAACACACTTTTCATACTTTGTAGCTAAACCATGCACACTAACTAAACACACACACACCAACTAAAACTCACATATTGGATTTCTTTATATCACTATCAATTATAATTAAGGGATCAAAATTTTCTCAACGATTTAGCTTCGATCTCCCGATCAATTTCACTTCAGTGTGAGCCAGATAGGTCCGACAAATGATTCCACCCTATCTGATGTTAAGTGATGGTGAAGTCCAGACGTGAAGAAAGCTGGTAAAGCAGTTCTACCTGCCACACCAGCCATCCTCACCTTGCCGGCCTGCATGTTGCTTGTTCACGCCTCTTTTAAAGGATCCCAGGTTGTAAGAAGGAGGGAACACGTAAGCAGTCAGAGCATTCCATTTACGGATAGTGCGACAAAGAAATGAGTCACTAAATTTCTTTGTACGCGTTGGAATTGTGGCCACAGTTAGATGGTGACACCGAAGGCCAACGCGTGGTCTTCTGAAGGAAAGGGGAAGGTGGAATAAGAGAGAATAACTCTTCAGAACACTCGCCGAGGTACAGACGATAGAACGCGCTTAGTGACGCAACGTCACGGCGTGATTGAAGAGGCTCGAGGTGTTTAGTCACCTCCTCATCGCCTATGATGCGGATCGCACGCCGCTGTAACCTATCCAAAGCATCGAGCAAGTAGTTGGCGAAACCATCCCAGAGGTGCGAGCAATATTCCACGCAAGACCGCCCCTGCGCCTTATACAACAAGCACCGTTGCTCGGGCGTGAAAAAGCGCCGCACCTTATTTAGGACTCCGAGTTTGCGTGAGGCCGTTTTTACCACGCTTTCAATGTAATTCTTTGGATTTAAGTCACAGCGAATTTCCATACCGAGCATGGTTATACTGCTCTCTAGCTCCAGTGTTGTGCCCTGAAGAGAAAGACATGAAGGAATGGTGATGTTTTTGCCGTGAAAGCGCAGACCTGGGTTTTCTTAACATTGAACTCAACCAAGTTCTTGGACCATATTTCTGATAGGTACCCCTATCAGAAATATGGTGCAAAGCCTGATTGAGTTCAATGACAAGATTGTCCCGTTTTTTCCTGGTTACTACCTGTCCAGCCGCTGCTTGTCCGAGACACCCCGCGTGCACAGTACTATCATCTGCATAGCAATGAATGTTCCCAAGAGGAATAAAGTCATTGATATGCAGCAGAAAGAGAGTGGGGGATAGGACGGAGCCCTGAGGAACGCCGGCATTCACTGACATGAACCGCGAACTACTACCGTCCGTAAGGACACGAATTCTACGCTCACGCAGTAAGTCAGCTACCCAGGAACAGAACTGGGCCGGCAGACTGTATGCCGGAAGCTTGGAGAAGGCTTTTGTGCCAGACCCTGTCAAACGCCTTGGCAATGTCAAGGCTGATAGCCAATGACTCGCCACGCTTGTCGATAGCCTCACCCCAGATATGAGTCAAGTACGCCAGCAGATCACCCGTTGATCGTTTAGGTCTAAAATCATACTGACGATCATTAATCAGAGAGTGATCCTCTAGGTATCGGGTCAGATGGTTGTTAGGGACCTTTTCTAGGACTTTACATAATACTGAGGTGACTGCTATTGGCCGGTAGTTGGCAGTGTCTGAGCGATCCCCCTTTTTGGGCACCGGTTGCACTTTGGCATCTCTCCAAGTCTTCGGCAAAACACCAGCTTTGGTACAAGCGCGTGAGCACGGGAGACGACTCAGCTGCACATTTTTTAAGTACAACTGCTGGGATGCCATCAGGTCCACTAGCTTTCCGGACGTCGAGTAACTGCAATTCAGCGCGAACCTCACGCTGCCTGATTTTAATGTCAGGCATCGCTGCCACCAACATTACCACAATGAGGTAATGTTGGTGGCAGCGCATTGCAGTCATGGATTCGGGAGTTAGCTGCAAAGAGGTTTGCCAGAAAATCGGCTTTCTCCTGTGGCTTATGAGCTAGTGTTCCGTCTGGGCATCTCAGAGGTGGCAGCGAGGGCTGGCAGAAGTTTTTTTGCTCGGCCTTGGCCAAACGCCAGTAGCTACGGGAGCCCGTAGGATGCGTTATAAGTTCCTGGCCAACACGTGCAACATGCTGGGCATCCGCTCTGATGTGAACCTTCTTACAGGCCTTGGAAGTAAAATTGTAGGCTGCTTTGAGAAAATCGACCTCGGGATCCTTGAGAGCGCGGCCTCTGATCCAAGCACGTTATGCCGCTTGCTTACGCAAAGCAGCTTCAGCACAGTCGTGATTGAACCAGAGGTTACGTGTGCCCTTACTGATGAGATCAGAATGAGGAATATAGTATTCCATACCCATTATAATGTGCACCGCTGTACGTCCAAACTTTGTTTTATGCGCTGCCATGATGGAGGTGAAAAAAGAGACGTGAAACGAGTCGACGTTGTCGTGACAGGACCGCGCAAATTGGACAGGTATGTTTCCCCGAATGATAGCCTGCAGAGGATATACGCCGACCCGCCGGACGGAAGCCCCCAAGAAAAATAACAAAATCCAAAATGACGGTGTAGTAGTTTATGCCAGAAATGGTTTGAATTACAGTATCGAGGAACCAAATTTGCAAGAAGGTAAAATGCCTTATCATAAAAAAATTGAGTATTTGACAAGATTTTGAAAACGATCTCACGTTATTTTCTAATGTTTATAGAGTCCACAAAAGTTGTCACATCATTATGTTGTGTATTTCGGTAAAAAAACTAAATCAAAAACTCTATTTTCAAGTTGCCGCGAAAACGTATCTCTGGACAATATGGCGTCTCACTGGTGTGTGACGTCACACGACAGTCATGAAAACGTCAAACCTTACAATCTAATGTCACTTTAACCGGAAGTTCACTTGCGTGTGACGTCATTTTAAGCTCCACCAATCCCAAGCGTTTTGGTTCACGTGACAATAGACAAGAAAACGTGGGTTTTTATTAAAATTATGAATATTTTTTCTGTGAAAATAGTAAAAACTCATGCCAATATTCATACTAAATATAGATGCTAATAATTGGCACTTTATTTTTAATACTGTCAAATACCCTATTGTCAGGAATGGGCATTAGTATGTATTTATCGTTCACCAAGTTACAAAACAATAGATCCGTTCCTTACGTGACTTAATACTATTTTGGGAGACCTAGTGAATTACAAATGTGTAGTTATTGTTGGGGACATTAACATTGCGATAAATGATGAAAAACTTGACAGTCTCTGAACGTTACTTAACTTTAACCGCGTTTCATGGTCTAGTTCCAACTCATTCGATTGTCACTAGGGATAGTAGTGGAACATGTTTGGATCAATGTTAAAATCTAAAGAGCGTGTTATGAGATTAGTTGTAAACACCACTCTTATGGATCATGAAACAGTCTTAATGTGTTTCGAAGGTAAAAGAAATTATACAAAGGCACCTGTTTCATTTATTAAAATAAACTATGATAACCTTAAAGAATATATATCCAAATTAGATTTTAGTCACATATATAGTAAAACTGATCCCAATGTGGATAAGTCCGTTCTAAATGTTCTAATACACTGTCTCGAAACTGCAATCACTGTTAACACCGTAAGAAGGACCCTTCCTAGGCGTAGACGTATATTGAAACCATGGATAACGCCTGGCTTGTTACGATGTATACGTAATCGAGATCGCTTACACATAAAAATTAAAAGTGCGCCAGATAATGACATTTTAAAGATAACGTATGTTAGATACAGAAACTACTACAATAAAATTTTGAAAAATGTTAAAACATCCTATTAAAGAGAAAAAAAATAACAATGCGGGTAATAATAGCAGAAAAATGTGGGAAGCGATAAGAGAGATTACATATACTAATAATTATAATGGTTCTAGCTATAAGTTATTGTCTTTGTTTTCCTCCCCTAACGATGCCGTTAATAATTTCAATAATTATTTTATAAACGTGGGCGCTTCACTGCACTATTCTCTTTATCTCTCTAGAGGAGTGAGTGGCAGCGTACAGCACTAATCGGCACGCCACCTGCCGTATCTTCTCAAAACTTGGGTGATCTACTTCATCTAAATCCGGCTCGAAGGACCATTGTTTGGGACCAAGGGTCAGCAAAAGTACTCGGTGAATTGGGATTCGTTGAAATGATAGAACTTCGTACTTGAACTAATATATTCTTAAAATAAACATAACAAATCAAACAGAATCTTGAACTGGTACTGAATCCTTGATCTTCTTTTTGTTCTTCATTGTTATATTCTTCTCTTATCTCCTTGTTCGTATTATCCTCTTCACAACCTTTCCTTTCCTGTTCTATATTCACCTCTCTTTCACATTGTTGTATTATATTTAAAAGCTCTATACTATTACTATTCCACTTTTGTAAGACAAATCCTCCTTTTTTAAGTAGATCTCTCATTTCACTGTATATTTCTGACCCTTCCAGCACGCTAAAGCTTCATCAAGTCATCCATGTAAAAGGATACAGGAAAGATCAGATGCCCTTGGAAAATTATTTCTTTCATCCAGCGCAACTTGATGTAAACTTTTTACTGCTAGGTAAAGAGCGGATGCTGTACCAAAGGTAACCGTTACAAACTCAAATTCTTTAATTTTATCATGAGGATCTTCTCTCCAAACTATTCTCTGAAAGATGGCATCCTCAGCTGCCACTCTTATTTGGCGATACATTTTAACAATGTCTCCAATGATTCCAATGGGATAAACTCTCCAACGCATAACAATTTTACGTAAATCTAACTGCAATTTAGGTCCTATCATTAAATCATCGTTGAGTGACACACCATTTTTATTTTTACATGAGGCATCGAATACCACTCGTACCTTAGAAGTAGTTCTCTCTTCTTTAATCACTGCATGGGCTGGAAGGTACCGCCATATTTTCATCCCCTTCTTTCACCGGTCTCATGTGATCTAATTCTAAGTACTCATTGATTACCTTTGCATCTTTAGAAAATTTTCTTTCTAATGATAAAAATCTTTGCACAGCTATATCTCTGCTATTTCCACCAATACACCGTAGAATCTTTTCGCGAAACGGAAAATTGTGAATTTTCCGTTTGTAACGTCCATCCTCTGTTCTCCTTGTAGTTGCTGCGTATATTTCCTCGAATCTTTGTTCTTCTAAGGTAAGTATTTTCTTTTTATTATTTAGCTCATCCTCAATCTCCCAAAATCTTTTTAATATATCACTGTCATTCATTTGAGCATGCATTACTGTAATATCACGAATTGTGTTCTTTTTGCTTTCAGGTGCACTCCCGGTATAATCCAGCCCAAGCACGTGTTCTGAGCAAGTAAAGGTCCATTTGGAGATCTCTTAATACCTTCCATAACAATCTGACAATAGACGTCGGCTCCCAACAGTACGTCGATTTTATTCGGCTTATGAAACTCTGGATCAGCTAATTTTAATTGTCCTAGTTCTAACCATTCTAATGATTGTAATTTTCTTTCAGGTATATTGGACGTGATTGCCTTCAACACATAAGCATGAATATTAATTATGATTTTATTTATTTTTTAAGCATTTAACTGCTAGATGTTTAAATCTAAAGAAAAGTTTACTAGAAAAAAAATGAATTTTAATGTCAACATTGGACTCCACTATAGATTGCAAATTAACCGTAACCATATATTTCGATACAGTTGTCTTATTTGCACCAAGACCAGACACTACCCCTCTTACTGGAGTTTTCTTTAGCCTTAAGAACTGTACTACATCCTCTCTAACGAGTTAGCCGATAAATTTAATGATCCTGTTTTGAATAAAGATTCTTATAAAAGAGCAGCCCTTCAAAAACCAAAACCTTTCCTTTGTAATGCTAGATGTCGATGAGGATGAGGTTGAACGCTGGGTCTGAAAAACCATTGCTCGGTTGGTATAGATGAAATTTCAAGTGAGTTACTTTGACATATATATTTTTAATTGTTGTCTGAAACAAGGCGTCTTTCCTGATGCTCTCAAAATATCCTTAATTACTCCAATATATAAAACTGGCAATAACGATGCTATTGAAAACTACAGGCCTATTTCAATTCTCCCAACCATTTCTAAAATCCTAGAAAAAAATATAAATAACAGACTAATTAACTATTTGGAATCAAATTATATTATCTCTGACAATCATTGGTTTGGTTTTCGCAAGGGAAAATTTACTAATGATGCAGTACTAAGTCTTACTGAATTTCTCACTTGCAATCTTGATTTAGGTAAAAGATGTATATGTATATTTTTTGATATGGCAAAAGCCTTTCATACGATTTCCATTCCAATAGTTCTTGCTAAATTAGAAAATATAGAAAATCAGATTATATGTCAAATAGATATCAATGTGTCAAAGTTAATTCTTGCATAAGCAATAAATTAAAATTACAGTATGGAGTTCCACAGGGAAGTATTTTAGGCCCAACCCTTTTCCTTATCTACATCAATGATCTTTTGCATCTGGAGCTTCCCAATGGTAAAATAATTTCCTACGCAGATGATATAGTTGTTCTTTTTAGTGCACATGATTGGGATAGTGCTTTTGGTGATTCTCAGGTTGGTATGAATGCTGTTCAGAAATGGCTCACAACCAATAGACTTTTGCTAAATGTAGATAAATCTAAATATATTAAATTTTCGATAAAAAATCACCAAAATTGTAATACTAATTAAAAAATTAGATTTCATACTTTCTTGACTGACAATATTGTTAACCATGAAAGTTGCTGTTCTTATTTAGCCATGGAATCTGTTTAATCTATTAAATACCTTGGTAATATCATAGATGAAAATCTCAACTTCTACAAATACATTGATCAATTATCGACAAGAATTCGTAAGTTGATGCCTATTTTTAAGAATATACGTCATGTTCTGGAACCACATCGTCCATACTCATAGATGCCTTGCTTTTAAAATGAATTGCCACCTATTGATCTTTTCATTTATGAGATACGTATTTAGTTTACTTTTATTCAGTAACATATTGAAAATGGTCCCCATTTAACAATAAATCAATGGGATCTGAGTTGGTCATCACCTTGGTTTTTTCTTTATTTAACTCCAGGCCTACTTCAATACTAATTGTAGCTAAATCTTGGATCATAGTTTCAAGCTTCTTTGGATCCTCTTTGAACAAAACTATATCGTCCGCAAACCTGAGATGGTTAAGTCGACAGCCGCTGATGTTTAGGCCAAAGTTTTCCCAATCCAGTTTCCTGAAGATGCTTTCAAGAACAGCTGTAAAGAGCTTAGGAGACAGAGGGTCCCCTTACCTTACACCCTTGCATATAGGGAATGGGTGGCCAATACATTCTAATTTTATGCTACTTATGCTTTGTTCATACAGGTTTTTAATTTACTCCTTGTTGCTTTAAACTTGACCATATGAAGTGGTGGTTAATCGTGTCAAATGCTTTAGAGTAGTCAATGAAAGCAAGGTACACCGGTTTTTGGTATTCATTGTATTTCTGAATAACTTGCTTCACAGTGTGAATATGGTCGATAGTACTGAAGTTTTTCCTAAGCCCTGCTTGCTCTACTGGTTGGTTCTCCTCTAGCGTTTTTGATAGTCTATCTAGTATCACTTTAGCGAACACTTTATATACATTTGACATCAAGCTTATTGGCCTGTAGTTACCAATCTCATCTTTGGCTCCTTTTTTGTGAATGAGTATGATGTGAGATTCGCACCACTGTTTCGGAATGAGTTCCGTGCGTAAGACATCGTTGAAAATTGGTGCCAAAATTGGGCTTAGATCCACATGAGTTCCTCTCATTAGCTCATTAGGGATTCTGTCAGGGCCAGGTGCCTTTTCTAGTTTCTGGGAGTTGATAGCTTTCTCAACTTCTGCAGAAAGTATAACTGGAACCTGGTTTTCTTCGATTTGAGTTTTAGAGGTTTCAAAGTTGTATTTCGTGGTAGTGTGATGATCAGAGTATAGTGAGCGATAATAGTTGGTAGCTAATCTTTGAATTTCTTTGCGTTTTGTAATGTCCCTCAGGTTTTTCTTCATTTTAGGGATCCAATCTTTACCTTTTTCTCTAAGAACATTTAATGCTTTCTTTACACCACCAGTCCTTGCAATGTGCTTTTCTTGTGTTTGTGATCTCCATGAATGTCTATCTTTTTTCATGCTTTCTCTTATTTGTTTGCTTAAATTGTATCTGGGTCAAATTATTTCTTTTAGTGACCTTTCTTCTTTATGACTAACGAAATCAACAAGAGAATAGCCTATGGTTGGAAGAAATACTGGTTGATGAAGGAAATAATGAAAAGCAAGAGTCTGGGGATCCACATTAAAAGGAAAGTTGTATTTTACCGTGTTTGACCTACGGGTGTAAATCTTGGTCTTTAATGACGCAGCTAAGGGATTAGCTGACTCATTGTCAACGGGCTATGGAGAGAAGTATGTCAGGAGTAAGTCTAAGGGATAGAATAAGAAGTGAGGATCTAAGATCTAAAACGCAAATAACAGACATTCTATCTAGAGTGGACAAACAAAAATGGAGGTGGACGGGCCACTTGCTGAGAGGTACCATAGACAAATGGAGCAAGTGAGTGACAGTCTGGTATCCTAGAGATGGAAAGCGTAGGAGAGGACGCCAGTTTAGAAGATGGGAGGATGACATCAGCTGTACTCTGGGTGCGTATTGGGCAAGAGTTGCAGCTGACAGAGGTGAATGGCGTCGGTTAGAGGAGGCATTTGCCAAAAGGCACACAGAACTCTGTGACTTATTGTAAAATGTATAATCAATGTTATGTTAAGAAAGTTTTGAAATAAAGGCTATTTTATTTTATTTTATTTATTTAGTCTACTTTAGCATTCTCATGTCTGTGGGGGTTTATGGCGCTGAATGCTGAAATACAGGCATTGCCTAGTTCAGCAGCAGAGGCTAATTAATTATACTTTCTGTATAACTTTTATTTCTGTTTAACTGTTTTGAAGACCTCCATGGCCGAGTGGTTTGTACGCCAGGTTTCATGGTGTCGCTGACTCAAGAGGTCCCGGGTTTGAATCCCGGGCAGATGTTTGCCTGATGAATACAAGCATTTGTACTCCAGTCATGGATTTTTATATGTATTTCTATATAAATATATTTATATATGTAATGTTTATGTATTCTATCCGTTACCCTAGCATCCCATAACACAAGCCTTACAGTACTTACTTTGGGGCTAGGCTAATTGGTGGGAGTGTTGGAAATATTTATTTATTATTCATTTATTTATAACTAGTGCTAAGTTTGTTGCGTAATCTTACTGTACTGTTTTTATGGTCAATACATCTTATTATTATTATTAATACTTGTTGGCAAGAAAACTGATGATTCCCCGTCTGACGCTGTCATGCGACCAATAAATTTTGGACATTTTTTATTTCAAAATAAAATCAAAAACATGGTCAACAACGGCGTTAAGCGGAGAGGCAAGAATAGGATCTTGGTGGAACTTAAGTCAATCATGGATGCAAATGCTTTCATCAACCATTCTTCCATCGCTAATGCTGGGTATGAAGTTATTATTTCCAGGTATAGCATCAAAAGGATGGGATGTGATTCAGCAGGTTCCAGTGGAGTGGAGTTTGGCAGAACTTGTGGACTCCCTAGAGATACTAACAGGATTTGGACCTCTGGGTCAGTGACACCATGAAACCCGACATACAAACCTCTCGGCCATGGAGGTTGTTTAACATTACCTGAGCTATAGAAGAATACTTACTTTACTTTTTTCTAAATCTGCACAATCAAAATCTTTCTTTCCCATAAAAAGCTTCACATAACGACTCTGCATACCATTTTTGAATAAAGCCTCTGCTATAATAGTTGAAGCATAGTTTTTTCCAATACCAGACCAACCATGCAAACTTATTACCAAAGCCTTCCGATTTCTTTTATTCACATCATATACAGCTTCCTTATGTGCAGTCAAAATATTAACCAATTCATTAACCAATGGCTGACCAAACATTTTTTGGGATATTGAGTTATGCAACTCTGAAACAAAAAAATTACATTGTATAAAATAAAATAATAAGCTTGTGTAGCTTGGTGACATTCTGAAGTTGAAATCAGGTTAATGACAAGTCAGCTTCAAAACATTATTGAATAAAACACGTAACTTAAGCTGGGTCTCCAGCAAAAGTTCTTGGAAACATTCAACAAAAACTTATACTTGAAACTTTGTTTCTGAAACATGTTTTTCTACACACTGTGTCTGCTGCTCACATGGCTATCATACACAAAAGACACATGGCTACATTCAGAAAATACAACCCAGGTGCTACAAATTTCAAATTTGACAATATTTTATGTCAAAATTGAAACATCAAAAGTTGTACTCGGAGTTGTCAATGTTGTTGTGCGATGAAACAATACCCTGCCCCTCAACCAGTGTGGGGGAGACTTGTGTATGTGTTTTCCATCGGACTCAGAAAACAAAAACATTGTTGATGCAATATGCAAATATGCATTGTGAAACAAGTTTTGACGATTTTGTTGAATGTTCATGTTTTTGTTGATTGTATTGGTGAAACACGTGATTCATTTTTGTCTTGTTTTACCTATTTAGGGAGACCTTCGGGTAAAGAGTAGAATTTAGTTCACATTACAAGATTAAATTTTGTTAATATAAAATACATTTAATCTCCCAACCACAGACATAGATAACGCTAGTGTATGTACTTCGCATGCTAAAAGGGAGACCAATGGTCTTCCTATTTCACTAAATTATTTCTTTGCATCACTGTTGTCATTACAGGACATCAATCGTAGTGTTAAATAAAATAGGTATATACAATATACCTTTATTTAACATTATGATATAATACCATACAATTTAAAGTACATGCAAAGTCTACATTGATCTATGGTGTGCTTCCAGTCAATTTAAGGATTGGAAATGCAATGTAACATTGTGATATTGTGATAACACTAAAATTTTTATTTAAATAGATTAAATTGAACTTACTGTCTATATCATAGGGCACATATTTTTCATTACAACATTCCATGAAATGGCAGAGTGTATTATCTTTCACGGTTTCCCATTTAAACCAACCGCCAGCTAAAACTGCAGATCCGATTAGAGAAACCGTAACCAATTCTGCAGACATGTAATTAATAATACAAATAATACAAAAAATTAAGTAAAATCTATGTAAATGAATCATTTTTTGCCTACTCTGGGAATGGTAATGTGTATTAAAAAATGCAGATTAACTTTTATAGATATTATTATTATTTAGTCTGTAAATCAAAACAGGTGGATTAGGCAAGCGGGTAGATATTCTATCAATTTTGCACTTTATTCACTGGAGAACAAGTTTATTTATACAAGCAACAATAGAAGACCACTTAATTTTTTTTTGTAGTTCTCCCTTTTCAGGGAAGGCAAAAGAATCAATGCCCATACAGCCTCATCTTTAGTTTTTTTATTTATTAGAAAAAGAAAATTCATTTTAGTAAATAATTTTATTGTTTGATGAATTTCAGATATTCTTCTTTATATATTGCTTAGTATCAGTTTTTTTTAATGTATTTTATATATACAAGGAAATAAAAGGGCAGCTAACTAGCAAAATAGACACAAACTTATTTTATGAAAAACCTTATTATCGAGTTCAAATAATATACAAGCTACCTAATAACCAGAATGGCCGAAACCAACAAACAAAACCAACAAACAACAGAGATGATACGAAATAAATATTAACAGTTTATAATTATTTACAAAATTACCATACTTATACAGAAACCATAACAACCAAAACGAAAAGAAGAAAATAAAATGCGTAGACAGCACAGACTTATATGTCTGTGGTAGACAGAGAATAGCCTATAAGGGTGTGGCCAGAGTGCACTCAGATTCAGATTCAGATTCCGAAAACAAGCGCGAGAAATAAACAGTGTAGTCTAAGCAGGCTGCCTGCTTTTTCTCGCGCTTTGTTTTCTGAGTCTGAATCTGAATCAGGAGTGCACTCTGGCCGTACCCTTCGACTTCACTGTTTATTTCTCGCACTTGTTTTCGGAATCTGAATCTGAATCTTAGTGTGCTCTGGCCGCACCCTAAACCTATTGGGTACGGCTGAAACTCGATGACAGCTGATGTACAATTGTTGTACATAAGTTTGGTGTTGCCAGACACATGAATAATGTTAGTTCCAGTAACATTCATATCACGACTTTATAGACAAACTGTATATATAGGGTTGTTCAACAAGAACTTTGTTTTTCAATTGTGGCTACACCAACAATATGATTGTTTTTACATTTAGTTTTTTGACGTATTCGTGGTAGATGCATTGGCAATTGTTACAGTGAATTCAATTTCGCTTGAAAATCGAATCGAAAAATAATTAAAATCCACTATGAAAATAGTGGTTCTTTTACAGTTACATTTTGTCAAATTCGTGATATTTTCGGACAACATAATCATCCTTCTGAGACCGCTATTAAGAATTTGGTCGTTAAATTTGAGTCGACAGGCTCGATACAAAATGTGCCAACATCATCTCGGGATTCTTCCACTTTGTGGTGGGTTCGGGTTCGAAGTTCTCTTCATTCCCCGGGCTGCTTCTCACGGGGGTGCGCCCCCGCGGGGTTGGGTACCGCTGTTCAGCGGCCGTCGTTGGCGACGAGCCGTTTGTTCTTGCCCCTTTGTGCCCGCTTTCGCCAGGAGGCTTACTACGCAGCCCTCAGCGCGGTCAGCCAAGCCGGGTGAGACCCCATGAGGGGAGGCCCAGCTAGCGCCAGCGAGCAGGCTGCGATTTAGGCAAGCGGGGGTATGTGGGGGCTGTTAGCTGGGTGGTGGAAAGATGGGAGTCTGGATAGTTGGTGGGTGGGACGTGGATGGTGGCGAGAGCAAGCTACGTGGTGTCGGGCGCGGCGGACGGCGAGTGGAACCTGGTGAGAAAGCAGAGTTAGTAGCGCCGCCGGGTGGAAGAGGCGCAATATTTTGTAGATGGTGGTGCGAGCCGCTGTCGGCGCGGGAGAACATGCCCCGAGAAAGGCGGGCCACAAAGGAATCGATGGCCTCTACTCTGAGGTCGCGGGAAATGAGATCATTGCGAACGTGGCGTCCCGCCCGGGTGATGATGCGGAGCGCGACGTTCTGTTGTTGTTGGAGTCGCTGCCTCAGGGTCTGTGAACAGAGAGAGTACCAAGCTGGGGCGGCATAGGTTAAGATAGGCCGCACGTAGATTTTGTAGATGCCCACTTTTGTTTTGAGGGGCAATCGGGATGCCAGAATGGGCCGGAGTGTAGCTCTAACTCCTCGGCTCTTGGTGATGGCCGCTTCTATTTGGGCGGCCATGGAAAGCTGATGGTCGATGGATACGCCCAGATACTTGATTTTTCTTGCCCATTCGATCTTTTTCTTCCCCAGGGCAAGTTTGGGCGGGAACTTTCTCTTGTTTGAGGTGCAGATGGCCGTTGTTTTTTCCACATTGACGGCCACTCTCCAGTCTGCCATCCACCTCGGGAGTTTGTTTAACTGGCGCTGCATTCTTTTTGACGCCGCCTGTGCCCATACTGCTGAAGTGAAAAATGCGCTATCGTCGGCGAACAGGGCCAACTCGACCCTCGGTTCCCACTCCGCCAACTCCTCGTTCAGCAGTGGCATGTTGTTGGTATACACGTTGTACAGCATGGGCGAGAGTACGCTTCCTTGTGGTACCCCAGCTGTTATTTGGCGGATATCCGAATCTGTACTCTCGACCGACACGTAAAAAGAGCGGTTTGTGAGGTATGAGGAAATTAGGTGAATCATCGCCGGATGGATTTCTTCTTGTTTCAGCTTGTATATGAGACCGGGGTGCCAGACCCGGTCGAAAGCTTTCTCAATGTCAAGGAACACTGCCACCGTACAGTGTCCCTTGTTTTTGGCCTCTGTTAGGTGGTGTAGTAGGCGGCACAGTTGGAGGGTGGTCGAGTGGCCGCCACGGAATCCAAACTGTTCGTCGCGTGGCTTGAATTGGGGTTGTAGTCTTCGTAGGAGTAGCCTCTCGAATAATTTAGCGGAGTGGTCGAGCAGTGTGATAGGGCGATGGTTCTCGGGTCGCCTCCTGTCTTTGCCCGGTTTAGGGATTAAAATTACCTTTCCCTTTCTCCAGGGCGTGGGAAAGTGTTTGGTTCTTAGGGCAGCGTTTAGAATTTGGGCCCATGCGGCTATGCATCTTCTTGGAAGTTCTGCAAGGGCAGCCGGGGGCAGTCCATCCGGACCTGGGGCTTTCCTTCTGTTTAGTCGGATGGCTGTTTTTCGCACCTCAGAAGGGGAAATAAATATGTCTCCTGGCAATTGGGGCGCGGGTGTCTGTAGTATGTTTTCTACTTCTATTTTCACTTCTTCGTGGTGGGCGGCAGATTCAGGGGCGGCCGGGTGTGGTGAAAATTGGGTTTCGAGGTGGTCTGCGAATATATTGGCCCGGTCTAGGGCAGCGTATCTTCGTCTGCCCTGTGTATCAAGTAGGGGGCTGATGGTGGCTTTTTTGTTGGTCATGCCCCTCAGGAGTTTGGTGAGTAAGGTCCGGGAGTCAGAGGCCTTCTCGATGGTGACCTCCCAGGCATCTCCTCTCCATCTTTGGATAGAGGCTGCAACGTCCGCCGTCGCCCGATTTAGTTCGGACTTGATCCTAGGGCATCGGTGTAGGGCCCATAGTTTTTTTAACCTCTTTTTTTGCGTAATTTTTGCATGGAGGCTGGGTGGTAGTGGGTCTCTTGTTTTGTTGTTGACCAAGGTGGAGTGGCGCTCCAGTGCCACCTTCATGCTCTTGGTCAGGTCCTTGACATTGCTGTCGATGCCTTCCTGGGTCTGGAGGGAGTGTGCTATTTTGTAGCCTTCCAGCTCTGTTTTGTAAGCCGCCCAGTCTATTTTGTTTTTGGGCGGGCGTGGTGATACTGCTTCTGGATCTAGGTTGGTCGTTATTAGAATAGGCAGGTGTTGAGTGTCGGTGGAGTAGAGGACGTCGACGCTTAGGGGTGTTGTAATGTCTTTGTGAAGAACGATGTCCAGTATGTCCGGTTGCTGTTGGTCGTTGGCTGGAATGTGGGTGGCGTCGTGAGGGCCCGTTGCCTCAGCGTTTCGGTTTTCCATTACTTGTAGGAGCCTGCGGCCGGAGGTGTTGGTGGTTCGTGAGCCCCATGATGGATGTTTACTATTGAACATCAACGCGTGTTCGACCGAGTCGTTCAATTGAAAGTAGGGGTGTACACTTAAAAAATATATCGATTCATGTATTCGATATAAAATATCGAAGAGAGATATCGATGTTTTTCGATATATCGTTTGAAAATATCGATATCTTTTCAATATCGAATATTTTTCACTAGTTTCATTTACTGTGAGTATTACTTTAATAGAATTATAGATACTACTAAGACTGTGATGAGAAGATTTTTATATATGTAAGTGAAACACTAAAAATTCATAGTCGAAATATTTTATTACAATAATACCCATTTAAGACCAATGTGCTTTAGGTAGACTTTATAGGAATAAAAGTTTACTTAGTCTTTTGCCTTTCATTCTGTTTTTTTTCGTTGGTTGACTATTTGAACAGCCTTTGAAAATAACTTTTTAGATCTTGCCATTTTTGTATTAGATTTATTTGAATCAATTTATAAAAAAATAAATTGTTAAGGTTTCTTAATAACACAAATAGTGAGTTAAGGTGGAGAATTTTTTCGAAAAAAGTATTTTTTTTTTTTGCAGAAATATAATCTTAATCATTTTCTGAAATAGCTAATTACGTAACTCGAAATTCACAGTGTATACATTATGTAAACAGGACACCACTGTTACCAATAAAACGGAATGAGTGAGAGATAGAGAACGGAGGCCTTTTATCCCTTTCTAATAGGATGACCCTAGCTTTTACTTATGGGAATAGAAATATTAAAACAAATAAGGAGAAGTTATGCAGAAGTAGGGGTAGATAAAAGATACCGTCATGAAGCTAAAGCGCGTGGAAGGCATATTGTTTAATGACACTCGGTTTGCAAATCTTCTTTTCTTTGGTTTTATTGTCATTATGAGTCAGCGTTTGTTTTTATAAATATCAGTCGATATTTTTATAAATATATCGATATATCGAATAAAAAATATCTTTGTCAAAACATCGAATCAATCGATATATCCTATGGTAAATATCGAAGAAATTCAATATATCGATATTAAATGAATATCCCTAATTGAAAGCATCGCAGCCGTGAGCCACAGTGCTTCTCAACAATTGGGGTTAGTTAGTTAGTTATAGCTATTAACGGGATTGTTACCATGTACCTTGTTTTTTATGAGTCTCCGATATTTTTGTCACTGTTGCAAGCGCCATGATCACGGAGTAACTGAAGTAATTGCGGGTAGATGTTATTAGCAGACATATCGGTCTACCCTCTGACGTCGTCTTTTACTGCGCTCGATACCCCTACCATTGGTCACATTCTCACTATTCACTCGCACCTGTTCCCGACACACAATACTCACAGTATCCGATCGCGGAACGACACTTTTTTGATTTTTACGGTTTTTGCACATACGAACCACTGGATTCCAGACATTTGACAATTTAAACCCATCCTCACGATTGAAATTTTTGTGTTTGGTTATTTCAATCGCTTCCCTGACCAATCTTGGTATGTAGTGGCGTTCTGTCGAGATGATTTGTGGATTATGGAGCTCAATCCAGTGATTCGGACCCGAATCGATTAAATGTTCCGCGATAGCTGATTTCTGCGTATCATTGTTTCTGCTTGCTTTTATGTGTTCTTTCATTCGGCACGCTATTGTCCGCTTCGTTTGGCCAATATATGAACTACCACAGCTGCAGTCGATCTTATATACACCAGTCGATGGTCTCCTTCAACTGTTCCGCCTGCTTAGCCGAGTGCGTAGCTCACCGTCCGCTTCGTCTTCGCGTCGGTTTTCGCGCGTTTG